GAAAGTTGAGGATGTTCGAAGCTGGGGGTTCAAAGGCTCAAAGCGTTCAAGATGCGGTGGCCTGTATAAAGAACGGGCGAACATTCCCGCTTAACTTAAGTATAGCGGGAAATGGCAGAATTGCGCGCGCGAGCACAAATCTAAACGGGCTCGACCTAGGCTTCGTGATAGTCGGTTGTGTATAGCATCATGGTAGGAAAAGCATCACTGCTCTGAAATGGGAGGTAGGTCACAGGTCAAAGTGTCAATGGACACAAGGCAGATTTTTAGACATTTTTCGAGAGAATAGTCTGACGCGACGTAGCGTTGAAAAACTTTTTTGCTCTTCAGCGGTGACCTAGCCATTTTTATGGCGTGTGTGTTGAAAGGACCGTAAATGTACTTTCCGCCTGACATGCGAGAGTAATGTCGGTCACCTTTGACCTCAAGATGAGGCGTTAAACATGGATTTGTTTACTGTTAGAAAGAATTTGACTGCCGGGTTTGCTAGCGTAGAATCTATAAATGCCTGGATGTATGAGGCATACACTGTCACAGTGAATTTCAAAAGATTACAATTTTGGTTTGGCAAGAAGAGTTTATACTCCCTAAATCGCTATAATTTCTATGGCTTTCTTTTACTGTCAGCTGGGTGTTTACATGCTACTTTATGCCACTGCCAGTGCATGTGTGGTGATAGTTACTGGTGGTAGTTTTTGCCTGTGTTAATTAGCTTACAGGTGGCAGCTCTCTTATTTCAGCCTTGTAGGCTTGCCGTTAGTGTAATGGTAATGAGTGCCTTAGCCTATTCTGTCTTCGCAAATAGTTGTTGCTACTACGTACGATCGGGAGCTTCCATCTTTAAATCTTAAGACCCCTAAACGTTTACACGACCATCTCGTGGGCCGCAACTTTCATAACGATTACCATATGAACATTCTTTCGAGAGGTTCCTGATACACTCCCTTGTGCCCTTCACTGTCTTCAGGCACGTATAGTGACACATTTGGCGACTAACAGGGTTTACTTAGAATCCACACTCCACCACAGGTCACCGCAGTAGACGTGAGTCGATGAGCGCTTCGCATCCTGCAGGGGAGCCCGGGTTCGAGGCTGATGATTTCGCTTGTTTTTATTTGCCCGCACTAAAGTGTCTAGAACTGTTCCGTGGGACTAGCAATCCATAAGAATATTCGTATTCTGGTAGTCGTCGTTTCACGCCGTACTGCCACCATCTCTCTGATTCAAGACTTTTACGACTTTCAGATCTGAAATACATTTATTTTTCCGACCAAAACCATGCATATATATCATTATCTCAATGAGATATATAATGGGAGATATGCTTATATAATCATTAATGCGAGTTCTCCCATATATACTCTCGCTTGCCTTTATATAATCCCACTCCTCATTCTATCACACCAATCGGTGAGCTACGTGTGTCATTGATACTTGTCATTTAAATGAAGAGATATTAAGGATAAGGCATATCATTAAAATGTCAAGAATTTCTGATGACCCACATAGAAAATGCATACATATAGATAAAGTATAGAATCCTTATTTAGACAAATTACTGTCTAACAATGGACATATCTGGCTGAAGTTTTCAAGAAAACTTGTCTCTCAGTAGTTGATGGGATGACTTTAGATCACAGTCGATGGGGAGCTAGTGTCCGCTAATGCCGTCTAGTGTGTCTGCCAAAGTTTTGACATTTGCTGTAGAGTCAATCTCGCCAATAGTACACCATCATCAACATATTTTGGCTATAGACAGTATGTATCAGTAACTTCACTTCGTATAATTTTCCTCTATTGGGTGAAGGCTAGTCTCGTTGCCATGGCTAACTTCATTCCTGGAAAGGGCAGAATCGACCAGTGGTATTTTGGCACAGTCACGTCGTCCCCATTCTCTTGCAATGTGATGTGACTACGTCACTGTGAGATTTGTTCTACTCCTCGCCAGCTTTGGGCATTTGACGTGTAACGTTGCCATGCACCTGCCTTCTACTTCCCTGCCATATCACTCCGGATTTATGATCCTTTCTTCATATTTCCGTGCTGCTTTTGCATCACCGCATTACAGGCATTTTAACCCTATAATCGTCCACGTATCTATGTAAACTGACAGGAGATAAGAGACGAATTTTTACTCTAATGTTGTAGAATAACTCACTCAGCGTGTTCAGAAAAATTATGAGGATTTGAAACGGAAATTTGCTAGCCGTGTACCTGAAGCGGAAATCACCATACGTGGCTGTTTAAATCTTACAATCACTCTTACTTAGCTAGCATTATAATAAACTTGTCAACTCACTCAAATTAGCTCGTACAGACAACATTTCAGCAATTTTTTCACGAGCCACTAGCAGCATGAGGATGACTTACACGGGGAAGACCCAATAGTTTATCTCAAGTTAAACTAGAAGCGGCAGTTGTCGACCAACTTACATGTTATCCCGCCGCGATGTAGTCTGGAATGAAATATCTCCCGTAAGGACGTACAATGTAAGGATAAAGTGAAATAAGTCACAAAGACAAATGGTTTGTTACACAACTCATCTGTTCAGATGTGCAAGTATTCAAATTTGGTTACCTATGGCGGCTGAAGAGGAAACGTGTGAACTAAGTCCACGCGTTTCAGGTTAAAACTAGGTCATGGTAAAAACACAACTATAAAAAGAATTTTAGTGTATAAATTACTGTGCTACACGGAAACAGTAGATATGGCAATGTATGGCCAAATGTATAGTTAATTTTATTTAGCCCACAACGAGAAACAGGGATAATAAATCTGTTGAGTGTGTTACTAACATACAAAGGTTTACCTTTGTGGAATCTCCAAGATATACAGGGTCATTGCGTCACTGTATGTATGTGGGCAGTTTTGCTGTACGCGACAACATCCTTCTCCGCAAGATGTTGTTAAGTAGTGACCAACGTATTGCTCGCACTAAGTTCAATTAGGGGCGAATTATAGCAGCAGATAAGCGGAAATTGTGAATCAAGGTCAAAGCCAAATATAAAGTCGCATGGACCTGGTTTTTGGCTACGTGACACACCTGTCTCCCCTAAAGAATGTGTAATTACTAAGCTATACCAAGTTTGGTCGCGGCTAGGTCAATAAGGGTCTGAGTACTAGGAGCCGTGGAGGAAAGGTATCTGCAGCCGGCGTCGGCTGGCACAGACATGAAACCATAGTATCTCACACCCTCATCGTCGCGGGGGATACAACTAACATTAAGTCACCTGGCAGCTGTTGGCGGACACTTCTACAGACGATTTTTACAGTTTACTCTTGAAGTGTTCCTTTTATAATATAGGTATTATGATATTATATAATATAATAATAGCCTATAGGTATGATAATATTCCTAATCGCTTGCTCCTCTTCGCATGCATATGTACATGTGCAGTGAAAGCTGCAATAAGTAAATACGGTAACGTGGGCTGCGCATATATTATATATCTTAATATATAATTTAGTTCGTAATATGTTCAATTTACTGGATATGGTATGATATGTTATACTTTCCTGTAATTAAGGACGGCCAAATCCTGTATAGTACCAGAATGATATTTTCAAAAATAAAAATGGTTAAACCGCCTTCCTCAAATCATACCCTAATCAAACCCGTCTGGAGGACGGGTAATAGCTAGTAATATATAGTTTGGTTTGTGTGAGTGTGTCACATTCAATGACGTACATGCATAATATCCAGAAACTCCTCGCTGCACCCATTAGAAGAAATTTGTTGAGTTATTGTACCTTTCCCCTTACATATATTGCAACCAATAAGAAGGGACTTATGTGCGCTCCATGAGTAACTATTTCCCACTACAGGTAAATGAAATACCTGCCAGCACAATGAGCACACGATAAACTAGACAGAGGGCACTCACGGAGGGTGCATACCTCCGCCAGCATGTAACATGTATGTGTTACGAGCTGGCTCGCCGCTCGCTGCTGGCTGCTGCTGACTGACTAGCCTGCTGCTGACTCGACACGCTAATATCGATCGCGCGAACACACACACACGCTAACACACGAACACACTAACGCACGAGAGTGATCACAACCTCCTCCAACTCCGTTGGGCGGAGGTAATTATATCATGCCTTTCATCAGGTGTCATGCAAATTGCAATCTGACAGCCAGTTTTAGCAGCAAATTTAGCCAAAAGTAAATATTTTGTCCCCCTCCTGCAGGTTAATGAGATCAGGCTGCATTCACCTTTATGCGTCCCTATATATGAACACCGACTAATGCATTTGCCATGTAGTTAACCTAATTAATATATAATCCAATTATATAATCTTGCCGCATTATATGTGACCATGGTAGCCATTATCACTATAAAGAAAGGGAGTTGTGTGAGTTGTGGAATCGTGACAGCAATACAGCCTGAATGCAGCCACTGGAATCATAGCAGTTGTACATGATTGGTATAGTACCTCTATGAGTAGTGCCTCTGCCTCTTGAATTAGTTCTTGCTCACTCAGCAAATACTGTACTGTCCTCTGTAGGCTGCCACTGGTCGCAGGCAAACACCTAAAGCATATAAGGAACATCCTTATATGTGTGCATGTATAATGACCGTGCTTCAAACTTTCAGTAATGGTGTAAATCAACCATTGATATTTAATAATAATAATAATAATAGCATAGCTACAACCAGGTTCTCATCACAACTAATTTTGGCAATGGTCAACGACTTTGTATTGACACACATTCAAACTGCATCCTATCTAACTGTCTATAAACAGTCGGTCTAAATGCCGAGCATACGGCAAACATACTTGTTGTAATTTGATTGAAAAGAATTACTTTATTATACACCAAGGATCAGGGATACTTCAGAGGATAGGGAAGTGATTTATTACAATGTATTACATATATACGACAGAAAGCCATGGGATGTGATAAAGCTATCAACTATCTTCTAGTGTCTATTAACTATGGCCTTCATCTCATTCTAAGAACGTTCAAATATGCTAACAATATCACCAGCTACCACTTACCTGTCACTAGAAAAGTCATTGCTATTAGCCTATTATCACTTGAGCAATTAACAAATCTACGACCAAGAGGTTGAACAGATGGCACAGCGACAACACAAGATCGTTTCCTTTGCTCTTTCAGCGGTGACTCTCGCGATTGGGTCATCCATGCAGGTAGCCTAGCTTCGCTTTTTCCCACTACACTGCCATCAGCTGCGCTTGCCGTCCTGCTGACGGGAAGCATATCTTCATGTTATCGCTACAGGAGCCGAGTGTTCTGCACAACACCTGTAAAAGTAGTAGGCGCATAGCTTTGCACTGTAAATAAGTGTGATCCCTGTTAAAGCTAGAAGATATGTACGACATCAATGCAAATAAAAAAATTTCAACGTAAGTTTTGTAGGTAAAAAGTAACTATACTATCAGCACGAAGATTCATACAGTCAAAAAAAGGTTAGTAATATAAAGTTTGGGCTGTTTGACCGTGTCCTAGAAAAAATAGCATGTGTTTAGAAGTTTTTCATACAGAAATGGTAAATTATACAGTACATGTAGTACAAGGATTAAAGATAAACAGAACCATTAACAATAATTTTGATACTATTTATTTTATACATAAGCAAACATATTACTTACAAAACTTGTACCAACTGCTAACATGCAGCATGCTGCTATCTCAATCAATAAAAAGCATATATGCTAGGAATATAGTAGATGAATTGTGCTTTAACAGTTTTCTGTTCATAGAAAATGGTTTTCCAAAATATGTATGCCACACATTTTCCTACAGAGTATATTTTCAATTTTTATTTTGCTCGCAGCTGATTACTTGTATTAGAAATTGCTGACCGATGATCACCATCTGTGATTTGCCTCTCTGCAGACACATATTTGCACATGAAAATAGCCTTGAATACTTTACTAAACGCTGGTATCTTCCACGCGTAAATCAGAGGATTCGAGAGCAGGTTGACGAGGGGAAGACAGTAGAGTGTGTAACGAACGATGCCGACTCTATCCGCATAGTTGTCAGTGATCTCCAGCAGCGTCAGTACGTAGAAAGGACTCCAGCAGACTACGAACGAGACGACGACGACGAGAAACACCTTCGTCAGCTTGAGGTGCTTGGTGAGTGCGCTGCCGCCGGCAACCGTCGGCTCCACCTTCCAGTGTCCGTAAGCAATGACGGCGAGCCGCGAGTAGACGGCGAACATGATGACCATGTCGGCGGAGATGTGCGCGGTGCCGAAGTAGATGGCGCCCTTGCCGACGACGAGCTCGTACGAGCAGCCGCTCTCCGGGAACCAGCGCTCGCCGACGAGCACGGCGTTGCTGAGCGCGAGTCCCCACAGCCACGTAAACACCAGCAGCACCTTGATGCGCGCGACCGTCACCATCTGGTAGTAGTGCATCGGCCGGGTGACGGCCAGGTAGCGGTCCACGGTGATCAGCAGCAGGTTCGTGTAGGAGATCTTGCCGAAGAAGTTCATCACGAACAGTATGAAGATGCAGCACGGCTTCGGCATGTCGCCGAGGATAGCCGGAGCGAGGTAGAACGGGTACATGCCGAGACCGATGTCGGAGACAGCCATGTTCACCGCTAGATAGTGTGGAGCTTCTCGTAGATCGGTCCTCTTAAAAGCAACAATGGTTGCTACGTTCGTCACAGCTACTCCGACAGCCAAGATGCACATTATAGGAACCATGATGCTAGCGACCATATGGTCCACACGCTGGCGTGAAATGACATTGTCTGTTATATTACTAGTATTTGAAAAATAATCCATGGTCACTGAATTATTGAGTATGCTGCATGTATATACTACAGCCAATGTTTATGAGATAGCACAGTAGAACTGACCACTCCGAAGTCTTTTACTGTGCATATAATAACAGAATACCGCACCTATACCTCCTATACCTGCGGTCATATAGTCTCAGTGCGAGTTGCTGCTGGGGGCATTAGGCTCGTGGCTATAATATGAGCAAGCTTGCACGTGACGTCAGGAGGGAGCACAGCGCAGCCCATACACCTACACATGCACACACAGAGACATGTTTCCCCGAGAAAGTTGATGCTAGGGGCGTAATCGACTTGTAAATGATCATGTAGAGCTAAGCTGGTATAATATGCTCAGCAAATATTTATAGTAACCTAACCAACAGAAATCCAAAGCCAATAAACACAGGTGGAGGTTTATCCAAACGATCGATTATGTTGTTCTCATATACAGGTGCCAAATACAGGTAGTGTGGCTCAGATGGGTTTAACAGTACGTGGGCGTTCTGTAATGGTAAAGTGCAGGGTGCGAAATTAACGGGACTCCGGAGTCAAATACTCTCTGATTTACTGTCGGACTCCCTGATTTGACATATGCAGGAGTCCGTGTGACTCCCTGAAAATTCTGCCGTACTAACTAGATCGTTCGGAGCACGGCCTCACAGAATTACCATATTTTTTCAGGTAATGCCCAAAGAAAATTTGGCAGACGTGCAACTGAGGTAAATGGATGAGTGCTTACCTATTCTGTCTTGCAAATAGTTGTTGCTACTACGTACGATGGGAGCTTCCATCTTTAATCTTAAGACACCTAAACGTACACGCCATCTCGTGGCAACTTTCATAACGATACCAATGAACATTCCTTCGAGAAGGTTCCTGATACCATCCCTGTGCCTTCCACTGTTTCGGCACGTATGTGAACACATTTGGGACTAACAGGGTTTACTAGAATCCCACCACTCCACCACAGAGTCACCGCAGTAGACGTGAGATGAGCGCTGTCGCTCCGCGGCACTTGTTTTATTTGCGCAATATTTGACAACCAAAATTTTGATCATTTAGGCGTAGCACCATCTCTCGTCAAGATTTTAGACTTTCAGATCTGAAACATTTATTTTCGACCAAAACATGCATATATATCATTATCAAGAGTATATAATGGGAGATATGCTATATAATCATTAATGGGAGTTCTCCCATATATACTCTTGCTTTATATATCCCCACTCCCTCTTCTATCACACCCAAGGTGAGCTACGGTGTCATTGATACTTTCATTTATATGAAAGAGATTTAAGTAAGACATATATAAATGTCAATTTACTGATGAACCCACATAGAAAATGCATACATCAGATAAATATAGAATTCCTATTAGAAAATACTGTCTAAAAATGACATATCTGGCTGAGTTTTCAAAGAAGACTTTTCAGTAGTTGATGGGATGACTTTAATCACAGTCGATGGGGAGCTAGTGTCGTAATCCGTCTGTGTGTCTGCTAAAGTTTGACATTTGCGAGAGTCATTCGCAAAGTACACATCATCAACATATTTGTATAACAGTATGTATCAGTAACTTCACTCGTATCAATTTCCTCTATTGGTGAGGTGCTGGTTGCCATGGTAACTTCATTCCTGGGAAGGGCAGAATCGACCAGTGGGTATTTGCACAGTCCACTCGTCTCCCCATTCTTGCAATGTGTGTGACAGTCACTGTGAGATTGTTCTACTCCTGCCAGCTTTGCATTGACGTGTAACGATGCCTGCACCTGCCTTCTACTTCCCTGCCTATCACTGGATTTATGATCCGTTTCTTCATTTCCTGCTGGCTTTGCATCACCGCATACAGGCATTTTACCCTAAAATCGTCACGTATCTATGTAAACTGAACAGAGATAAGAGACGAATTTTTACTCTAATGTTGTAGAAATAACTCACTCACCTGGTTCAAAATTAGAATGAAAGGAAAATTTCTACGTTGCTACTGAAGGGAATCACCATACGTGGCTGTTTAAATCTTACAATCACTCTTACTTCTGCTATAATAAACTTGTCAACTCACTCAAATTAGCTCGTACAGACAACATTTCAGCAATTTTTCACGAGCCACTACAGCCACTTGAGAGACTTACACGGGGGAAGCCCAATAGTTATTCCAAGTTAAACTAGAAACGGCAGTTGTCACCAACTACATGTATCCCCCGCGATGTAGTCTGAATGAAATATCTCCGTAAGGACGTACAATGTAGGTAAAGTGAAATAAGTCACAAAGACAAATGTTTGTTACACAACTCATCTGCTTCAGATGTGCAAGTATGTCAAATTTGGTTACCCTATGGGGCTGAAGAGGAAAACGAACTAAGTCCACGGTCAAGGTTAAACTAGGTCAGTGGTAAAAACACACTATAAAAAGAATTTTAGTGTATAATACTGTGCTACACGGAAACAGTACATAATGGCAATGTATGCAAAGTATAGTAATTATATTAGCACACAGAGAAACAGGGATAATAAAGCTGTTGAGGTGTTACAACATACAAGGTTTACTTCTGAATCTCAAGATATACAGGGTCATGGTCACTGTAGTATGTGGAGTTTTGGTACGCGACACATCTTCTCCGCAAGATGTGTAAGTATACCAAGTTTGCTCGCACTAAGTCAATTAGGGGCCGAATTATAGAGCAGAAGGGAAATATGATCAAGGTCAAAGTCAAATAAAAGTCGCAGCGACCTGGTTTTGGTACGTGACACACCTTCTCCCCAAGATGTGTAAGTACTAAGTATACCAAGTTTGGTCGCGCTAGGTCAATTAAGGGTCGAGTTATAGAGCGGAAGGGAAAGTGTCTGCAGCGGCGGCGGCTGGACAGACATGAAACCATAGTATCCCCACCCTCATCGTTGCGGGGGATACAATAACATAGTCACACTGGTGTTGGCGGACACTTCTACAGACACTTTTTACGTTTCTCTTGAATGTTCCTTGTTATAATATGCAGACACAACGGCTTCGGCATGTCGCGAGGATAGCCGAAGCCGAGGTAAACGGGTTAACATGGCCGGAGACCGATGTCGAGACAGCGATGTTCACCGCTAGGATAGTGGTGGAGCTTCTCGATCAGATCGGTCCTCTTAAAAGCAACAATGAGTTCTACGTTGCGTCAGCAGCTACTCGCACAGCGCAAGATGCCGAGTTATAGGACCATCGATGCTAGCGACTCATGATGGTCACACGGCTGGCCGTGAAATGATCATTTGTCTGTTAATGACTAGTATTTGAAAAAACTAATCCATGGTCACTGAATTATTTGATATGGCTGCATGTCATATACTGACAGCATACCTGTTTATCGAGATAGGCACGTAGGACGAACTGACCACTCCGAGTCTTTACTGTGGCATATAATAACAGAAATACCGCACCTATACCTCCTATTACCTGCGTCAGCAATAGTCTCAGTGCGAGTTGCTGCTGGGCAAGTTAGGCTCGTGGCTAAATATGTAGCAAGCTTGCCGTGACGTCAGAGGGCGCACAGCGCAGCCCATACACCACACATGCACACACAGCAGACAGTTTCCGCGAGAAAGTTTTGATGCTAGGGCGTAATCGACTTGTAAAATGAGTCATGTAAGCTAAGCTGGTATAGATATTGCTCCAGACAATATTTATAGTAACCTCAACCACAGAAATCCAAAGCAATAACACAGTGTGGAGGTTTATCCAAACGATCGATTATGTTCGTCTATTATACAGGTCCAATAACAGGTAGTGTGCTCAAGATGGTAACAGTTCGTGGGCCGTTCTGGTAAATGGTAAAGTGCCAGGTCGCCGAAATTAACGGCACGTCCGGATCAAATACTCTCTTATTTACTGTCGGACTCCCTGATTCGACCATAGTGCAGGAGTCCGTTGATGCCCTAAAATTCTGCGCCGTACTAACTAGATCGTTCGGAGCACGGCCCTACAGAATTACCGATATTTTTTCAGGCGTACATGCCCAAAGAAATTTGGCGAGGACGTGCAACGTGCATGAATCTTAAGCTTTTGTCTACACGACGAACCTAACTCGAGTAAGCCGTTAACTCGAGTTATCGATTATGTAGCGTCTACACGACAACACCGATAGCGATTATTACGATTTATTATGCGTGCGTGCATGCGTGATGGTGTATGTAAACGTGCGCCCAGTGCGTGTGTTGTGGTGCACGTTGT